GGGGCAAGCACGTGGGGCCGTGGGTCCACTTGTCAGACTGACGAAGCTGGTTTGCTCGCTTCGCTGTACGGACTGGCCCGTATTGGGCTCATGACTGGGCCGGATGAGTGTTGTTCGGCGTCTCCGTACTGGGCTTTAGCTCGATGTGCACGAGGGACACGGCCCGTTTGCGCTCCATCGGTTTCGCCAAGTTCGTTGGGCTAGCGTTAAGCTAATAAACGTCTGTCAAGCTTTGCTGCCTCAGTTCAACTTGTGTGTTGAGTTAACACTCGTGATGTGTTGTCTGCTGATTATTATTATTATTATAGTTTATGACTGAGTTCACAAACGCTTGGCTCGGTTTCTAACTCCAAATAAGTCATCAAATTGTATGTCCATGAAAAAGCGGTATAATGAAACCATGCATTGAGGATGGTTGTTTTATTCCATTCTATCTGACATGGTATTCTTAAAAACTATAAGCATACCCTATGCGTTGACGCGGGAATTTATTAGGATAAAATCACTACTACATAAATAATTTCGTGAGACATTGCCCAATCATTAACGGAGATGGCCACAAAATGCAATCGTCTCTTAAAGTATTTGAGCATTTTCGGAGGCGGGCGTTTTATTTACGGAGGCAGTTAAAAACAACTCGTCTCTTCAAATAAATTTACGGAGACAGTCAAAAATTTCTCGTCTCCTAAAATGGATATATATATAGATATAGATATAGATATAGATATATAGATAGCGCTACGCAACTCTTCACTAAGAATGGCCTAAACATTGCCATTTGGCTTAACCACAAAATAATTTCAGCACTAATAATCATGACTGAGGCAAATATCCATTCATTACCCTAGAGAACTATAATCTATACCTCCTTGTTATGTTGTTACTTAATAAATAATGTAACAGACCATTGAATAAGTATTGAAATGTTGAGTACATGTTGAATGAATATGTTCATAATATGTTGATTGATTTAAAGAATGTTAAGTAATTGACGTAGAGACATGTTCTTCTAGAGCCCTTGTACATGCATTTGAATATTTAGGTTCATGATTTTCTAAATTTAATGTTTTTATATGCATATTGAATTAAGAATTTTCATGTTTTCTTTAAACTGCTTAGCCCGCTGTTTACACCTTGGTAATTGCATCCATGGTTTTTCCATCGTTTTTTGTGAAGTGTTTATGGACACAGAATAAGGGCATGCTTGATACACATAGCTAGTTACTAGTTGAGCTAAAAATTAGTTCAAATCAACTATAGTTGGCTAACAACTAGTTAAAGACTTATCTAAAAAAGTTAACCCAACTATTAGCCTCCTATTTGGTATTAGAGACCTAATTTAGACGAATTTTTAGCTAGCTAGCAATTAATCCTTTGATTCAAATCGACCTTAAGCATGGTGTGTGTTTTTAATAAAAGTTATACGTATGCGTGCGTGTATACCGCCTGTTTCATAAAAAAAATGTGAAGGGGTTATGGGTTAATTTCACTTCGCCTACACTTTGAAACCACCTCTGGAGTAAAGATAGATGCCATGATTGGAACTTAGGATGTTGTGATGGATATTTTTATTATTCCATTCACTTGAGCTCCCGTCATCTTACACCTGTCACGAGTTTCCAATTTTCTTTGATAAAAACGGCGGCAAGGGGTCATCGTCGCACCGATTTTCCAAAAGGCACTGGAAGAAAAATGTCCCAAACATGACGGTTCAAACATGGACCATCATAGCCTTTCTGACCAGTTGGTTGAACTTGAACAATACACTGGTCTTGCCCGCTTCTTAGGCCCTATTCGCTCTTATAATTCATACTTTTAGCTTTTTTTTTAAGTCGAAACAGTATTTTTCTCTCTTAACAAATTAGTCGGAATAATATTTTTACATGTTTTTTACGAAGCGAACGGACCTTACTGAACTCCCCGTTAACCCCGACCGAGTACGTATCCACAGTGTTCCACGACGACCACGGTGGCCGGAGCTCCGCCGTCCGTGCGTGCGTCGATCGACAGGGTCGGCACGTTTGTCGCACGCGGCGAGATTAATTGATCTCTCCGATGCATCGAGTAACCGCATCCGCTTTGCAGCGTGACAGTGTCGCTTATCATTTGTTTTGTTATCCTACACCTGTTTCTGTTTTGTTTTAAAACCATTTTTTAGTACGTTGACAGAGACCGGAGAATGGATCGTCGCTAATTCTACACCCACCACTACTTGCCGAGCGGACGCGTCGCGTCTTCCGGCTCCGGCGTCCGGAGTCAATGAACCAGCTTCCCGAAATTCAGTTTCAGCAGAAGCGTTGAGCACTTGCGTTGGCGGGCACGTCACTCCTTACGCCACCTTATTTATTTTTTTTCTAAAAAAATGTTTTTACGCTAGCTTTTCGTGAACACCATGGCGCAAAGAGACAAAAGTGTCTGCGGACTTGGACGCACCTTTTCTCCCTCCTCCCTCCAGCTCCACAAGGTGATCGAAGCACATGAGGTGAGACTGTTGAAAACTTTAATGCCAGGCTGCTGTTTTGGTTCGTCACTACGAGTGGTAATACTCAAGTCCGTTCGTTTATTGGTTTCAGCCAGGGTTTATCAGCTATCCAACAATATTTTTCTTTCATAATAAATCTAGCATTAGTCAGGTTTATCAGCCCAGAAATCAACCAGCGAACAGGCCGACTTGGAGCATCTGTATGAGTTTCGGAGGATAACTCACTATTTTAATTTTGTAGTAAAAGGAGAAAAAAAGTCATCTCCAACGGTTTAGTAAAAGAGCTCCTTCAACATAAAAGTTGTCAGATATCTCTTTCAACCCATAAGTTTTCGCAGTTGAGAGAAACTCCGTATCTGCTATCCATTCAATGTTTTTCTCAGGAAACCAAAGTAAAAGTGAACGCATGAATAAATTAAGAAAATAAAGGGCCTTAGACGAGAAAACGGTAAGAACTCAAAAGAGGCTATTAAAAGAGGCTTGGTTGGTTAGAAATAGTACGTGGTTCTCAATACAAAATCATTTAGGAAACTAATATATAAATTTATTTGAGAGGGGAATAAATTGAGGTTGCTACTTATTTTGTTAACCCGCTGAACTTATTGGTTTAGCAAGTTAATTATAGAAAACACATGAAGTTGCTCTAATATAATATATCCGAAAAGGAGCGTTACAGTGTAAAGGAAAGCGTAAAATGTTTTGTTGTATCGGCTAAGCTCTTCCGTTCGCATAACCTACCTTTTATCTAGTCAAGTTAAATTCTCGACACGTGGGTGCTTACATTTTTCTAGATTAATTTTAAGACTTAGCGACGTTGTTCTTTCGGTGGTAGACAAGATGCTCGTTGACAACAGATGCATATAGTAACTTCTTTAATCTCGAGATCTACCGACCTAACCTTACTATTTTGGAGGTGCTCATATATAGAAGTACAATATGTGTATGTGTTTATAGGGGTGAGTGTGTGTATGTCCATGTCTATGCAATGATTGGAATGAAAAGACTAATGTTCAAATCTAATGCGATATTTAGTGTTTGGAGAAAAGGTTGGGTAAAATTATGAGATAGGAAAAAGGAGAGAAAGAGGTACGTAAGGGCGACCCTCACCGGTAAAGATGTAATGGAAGGTGTAGGCTATAGTTACTAGTAGTACTAATTGTGGTGTCGTGTCCGAGCAATGAGAACGAGCCTCGTGCAAGAGTGGAGGCAACGAAAAAGGGGAGCGGTATTGAATACGAGCATCTCCAGCAATCTCTTAATCCTAATCCCAATGAGAAAAAAACTACCTTTGAATTTTAGTGCTCCAGCAGTTCTCCAATCTTAATCCTATTGAGAAAAAAAATCCTCAACTCCCCAAGATCCATCCTCCAACTCCTCAAAGTTGAGGATGAACACTCCACCCAATACCTAAGTTTTTGGGCGGAGGTCCAACTGCCGCGTCAAAGAAGCCGAGCGTCGAGGTAGTTGCCGGCCACCAACCGTTGTGGCATCTGTCAATCATCGAGGAAGACAACCGTGGGGGCCCGAGTGTTGTGGATAAGAGGAGAGGAGGGGAAGAAACATTGATATAAATGTCATTTGCCAACACGAATCATTATGGGCATCTGGCGTCGTTTTCCGACCGCTTCGAGACCGATAAATGGGATGTGAGTGAGCCACAACATGGTGCCAACGAAGGAGCCACAAGTAGGACATGACGGGACAATGGCGAAGGAGGCATTAAAGGAGGGGCGACAATAGAGGAGGCGTAGCACGTAGGTAGAGGAGCGAGGAGAGGAGGGTAGTTGACGACAAATAGGCTACATATGCCAGGATAGTTATTTTAGGGTGGGAGTTTTTTGAATATTTACATATTTACCATTATTACAAGGTGAGTGGATATATAAAATAATATGTCAGTGATACATCGTAAGATGCCACTGTCAAGGGCCATCGGAGCCAAAAAGCCAACAACAGTATCGCTTCAAGTCGTGAATTGATTAAGCCTGAGCCAACCGGCCAGTAGATTTTACGCCGATGTGTAAGCTGTATTCTTTCTTTTTTCTTTTTACCACAAACGGGCTGGAGTGGTGGAGCGCATGCTGATGCTGAACATGCCCGCGGCCATGCATGTACAGTGTCAGTTGTCAGCGCATCGCCGTGTGAACTGTGAGCTCTTCTCGATCGGTGCACCGTGCACGTTCCAATGGATCCCTTCTCCAGCTACAGCCTTGTATTTTCCCGAAAACTATATATACCTCCGCGCTCCCTCCCCTTCCCCTTTCCCTTTCCTCCCCCACACCCACCCACCTCCGGCGGCTGCCAAGCCCTAGATGTCCCCCTCCCCCACCTCCTGCCCCCGCCGCGCCGCCGCCGCCGCCCGCGCCCCGCGCCGATCCCGCCAGATCTCGCGCGAATCGGAGGCCCTGCGCCTCCCCGTGGCCCGATTCGCCGGGAACGGCGCCGATTTGAGGCGGTTTTGGAGGTGAGGTGGGGGAGGTGCGATTTCGGTGGTCCTGGGCCTCGCGGGGCCCCGTGGATGGATGCGGTGGAGCTGCCGTTACCAGCCAAGGTGGAGTTCGGGAAGATCCTGGCGCCGGCAGCCGCGGTGGAGGGGGTGGACGGGCCCGTCGTCGGTGGTGGTGGCCCCGGAGGCGGGGGCGGGGAGGTGCTCAGGCGCTGCGCCGACGCGGATCGGCGGCACGGTGGTGGTATTGCCCCTCTTCTCCCTCTGTTTAGCTGTCGTCATGGTGGAAGGATTTGGTGTGATTTGGATTTTTGGTGGGGGAGTTAATTTCACTGCTCGTCTGTCTGCTTGTACTATGTAACGGAAATTCACGCTGCTTCTGCTGCTGTTATTAATGGGGATGCTATAGTTATTTAGCAGGTAGTAAGTGATTTCCATTTCTGTGGTGGAGGTGGACAGGGAGCACGGCGCTTCCATTTTGTGTCTGGATTGTTTTGTTGCTAATTTATCACGTAGGCTTGGATGAGGATGAGTTTCTGGCTGCCGTGCAGAGATGTATGTTAATGAATTATGGCACGGGAAGGGGAAGCCAGTTCGATGACTTGCTTAGCAGATTTGTGAGCTCTTTCCATGATGATGCGTGCAGCTTTGATGTTTTTTTCCCTGTATCGGCTGATCTATTGTTTGCGGTCTGTGTTGGTTATATGTTCTTGTCTGCAATATATTACATATTATTCTCTTTTTCTTGGCAGCTTGTAAATGCTTGTGGCTGTGTACATAGTCCTCTTTATTATGTGATCTTGAGGTGCTTGCAATTGATTGTCTAGTGCCCCTGTTATCTGGTGGTCTATAGTTGTCTTTTCTGGTTGTTGTAGTGGCATTTACTTGGTCCATGTCATTTAGAAACATCACTTTGCTGTCGCTCCTGTTCCCTCCTTTCAAAGCCTTCCATGTTGCTTCATTTGATTTCATGAAACTTTTTCCTTTGTGTCACTTCGCAGCATGGACCGTGCGTCCGTGCCCATTATCTTTTGTCATTGTCTTTTCGTACTGCATTGGTAGCTTTATTTACAGTAGAAACGCATATGCCATATTTTATGCCCGTTTACTTATGTTGCTTGGATTGGGTAGTTCTGGTTGACTTGGTGCTACTTTGATAATCCCATTTCCCGTCAAGAAATCCTCAAATATGTATGTTGTGATCCTCAAATCTGTATATGTATGTCGCGATCCTCAAATCTGTGCATGATTGTTTGTGAGTGTATCAGTGTTGCGAAAAATGGGCAGAATTTGCAACAATTCAACCTTCCAAAAGTTGGCTATTGCTTTGCGCTGAGCAGGTTCCCTTTGGGACAAGTTATTATTTTGTTCGATTTATCGCATAAAGGACTACGATATATATCGCTCAGCTGCATGTACATTGGAGTCAGTTCCTTGGAGCTCCTTGCAGTTGAAATTGAATCATTGCCCTCAAACGGAACTCATGCAGTGATCTTTCCTTATTTGAGCATGAAACCAAACACTGCATCATAGTTGGCTTGCACCCTGATTCTGGTTGTACGTTATGCAGACTGCATTTTACTTGGTTGCATATTGGATTCCAGCAATGAAATGAACAGTTTTGTTAATCTTTTTTATTTGTGTTTCTTTGTGAATATTGAGTATTTTCTGTGAGGATCAATTCTACTTTCCTCTTAAGTTTCTTATATTTATATTTTTTGGGACATGCAAGAGAGCTGTTTGTCATTTATCAGAGAATCAAAGAAAGGGCCGGTCCCTTACAGAGCCTTAGGGGTGATGATCAAACTTAGACACGCACGCACAAACACTGGTCATCCTTGCTGATTGTGATATTTACATAAAGGGCGTACCCAGTGCAGAGAGCTCCCGCTTTGTGCGGGGTCTGGGGAAGGGTATCAGTGGCAAGCCTTACCCTCGCCTGTGCAATGCGAGGAGACCGCGACTCGAACCCGGGACCTTCCGGTCACAGGCGGTAAGACTCTACCGCTTGCACCAGGCCCGCCCTTCGATTGTGATATTTACATGCATGGTTTTATTTACTGTCGTATGTACTTTGTACTTACGTTCCTTTCATGTGTTGGTCATTTGGCCATAGACTGGGGAGATAGGTGGAACTTAAATTTTTAATGGGTGTTTTATTATCTGTTTTGTCTTCTTTTTTTTCTGTAACTTCCACAATGCAACTGTTGTGTCATGGTCTTTGTTCTCTCTTCTTTTAAAACCTTATATAAGTTCAGTTTTTTTGTTAGTTTTCCCATGAAAGTAATGTGTTAAGTTACTTTAGAGGGATTTTAATCATGGTTCTTAAGGCAGTAAGGCTAAGTTGTGGCGAGCCACCCCCTTCCAATTGCCCAGGTGACACCTAGGCGGTGATAAGGTGAGTAAAGGCTACGCCATATGAATCTAACACATGTGGCTGAGGAAAAAGGAAAAGAATAAAGAAAAAGGAGGAGGGAGGAGTAAGAAGGGGCTGGCTCAGCCCATCAGCTGCCATGTAACCCTCCCCTGGGTGACCTACATGGATACATTTAATGGGGACACCGATTCCCAGCGCCGCCGCTCGCCCTCTGCCTCTTGTGTGAGTGCTCCCTCCCTCGGCGCAGCTTGCTTCTCTCTCTCATTCTCCAGATGCACCGCCACCACCTAAAACTTCTCCCTCCTGCTTCTTCCTCACTGCTCTACGCCCTCGAATTGACTACTGTTGCAGTCTCCTTCCAGATCGGCTGTGCCGCAGTTGACCGTAGCAAGTGCTGCGCCGCCCACCGGCACTGGAGACAGCGGGGATGGCAGCAGCTGCAGGTTCTTGGCTTTGCTTGCTCTCTACCCTCCCGTTCTTCCTCTGTTCTCCCTCCCTCGCTCTCTTTCGCTGACTTTTGGACATGCTGATGGGGACGCCCAGATTTCCAGCGTGCCTTATCGCCTAGGTGACGCCTTAATAACCATGATTTTAGTAGGAATTTATTCGTGAACTTCCTTTAGACTAGAGGGTTTTCTGGTGGCTGATAATGGGACGAGTTAATTACCATTGAACGCAAAAAGTTCATTTGAGAGCGTTTAGATTGATTGGCAAGGGACGCACATGTCAAAGCATGTGAATCTTGTAACCTTCAGAAATAGAATATACTTGCCCACTTTCAAAACCATATATAACTTCATCCTCCTTTTGGGGAAAAAATTCTATACATGCGTGATGTATATCAACCTATATACAACACCTCTTCTGTGCCGTCGGATCATCCTAATCAACGCCTGGCTGGTCCACCACGCATCCGCATGGCCGCATGCAGCCTGGAATATCTCCGCTGATTTCGTGAATCACGGCTTAATCGCACACGGAGACTGATCTGATGGCGTATGAGGGGTGCTGTACGGGGGTTCATGGGCATCACGTAGGCATATAATTTTTCCCTCCTTTTGGGCTTGCTTGGTTGTTGAATTGCTTTTTTTCTTTTGGCCCATTCATCCATGAATCTTGCTCATACCCTGAGAAAATATCTTCGTATCCTCCATTTAAAATTAAAGTGAAGAATACGGTTCCTTACAAAATTTTCCGTTATGTTTTTGGAGTATTCTGGCAATTTATATTATCTCTCTAAACGTTTTATTTATGTATACTGTTTCTTTAAACTAATTTACTACTCATTTGTATGTTAAAAACACAGGTGCAGATGTGAAGCAGCACAACCAGAATGCAGAAGGCTTTCCATCTTATAGAAGTAAAAGGACGTCTTTGGAAGTCCCTATGCAGAAATCTCTTGGTTTTGGCTTGAAGTCTGAAAACGGCAAACGGGATTATATTGCAAATGATACGGTTCAATCCTTGCATAAGCAAGATAGTAAGATAGTGACAAAAAAGACCATAAAGTTGTTGGACGGTCCACCTTATTCAAAAAGGCCAAAGCTTGAGCCAGTACAAACTGGTAGAGATGCTGAGGCTAAGGGACATGAATTCATATCACAGAAGAATGTGCCTGATTTGACACCATGCGCAGCATCTGGTAAGTCATAAACTTTCTTTATTCATTTGCAATTGTCCAATTTGATGTAGTTCCTTTTTATTGCCCATGTTAGGACAATCCACTTTTATTGCCATGCTATCGTGTTTTGATTCAACATTATTTTTTGAGTGCACTGAATTCCTCGCTGCTTCATCTCTCCTCCTTGGGGCCTTGCTTTTATTCAGTTTCTTCACATAGATAACCTTCAATTGTTTGCTGATTTCCATTTCAAAAGTTAAGCTACACTCTGCTTTGATTCATACAATTACAAGGCAAATATCCAAAGCTGGAATGGAAGCTAAGTTTGTGTGGGACATATTCTCAATCTCAGCAGCAATGGAACTATGTTTGCCAAGCAGACTGCAAGGATGATGTAGTCTTGTATAACTTTACGAGTGACAAACTATCAAATAAATACTAGGACTAAATTTTGTAAAGGGGAGTGCGTAGGTAGAATGGGATAGCTTAGTTATTTTGCCTGTGGAGGGTGCTCTTGTCCTTTTATCTCTTATTCCTATGAAGTTTATATCATGTAATGTTTGAAACCTCCCTGATTTGAGGTGGTCTTTCCTATTAGGTTTCCTCTTGTGACACTGTTTCCATAGGCTTGGGTAACAGCTATAACTCATCTGTGGCAGTCCGAGTATGCCTTGGTTTTGTTGTCTTAATATGCTAAAATGATTTAAACGAAGTAATTAATGTTGCTGAATAACTATACCCATCATCAAGAGACTATATTGAAATGGTTAATGGCACTGGGTCAGGACATTCCATTAGGAAATGGATTTTACCTTTCTAATTATAGTAAGTCTAGAAATCAGGCTGCAGATTGAATGAGCCAAAAGGAAGAAGAAATATGTGCCTTTTCTTCCTGCTACTTACTGGCCATTTTGCTCGTACAAAATTAATAGCCACTCATTAACCAGACCTGCAGTACTAATTACTCCCTGCCATACTTTTTTTAAAAATCTTTATGCACATTTGATTTGATATAGTTGAGTTCTCATTTGTTCTACTCGCTTTAATGCACATGCTGCTGTTCTGTTTGATATTCTGACAATAAATAATTTTGCACTTATCCTAATTATACACAGAAAAATCTCGGTTGCTCAAGCAGAAGCGCATTTCTGATGCAAAGAGAATTGATAAGAAGAATATTATGTCTGGTGTCAGATCAAAATATGATTGTTTCTCATCAAAGGCTGGTCTAGCAAATTTTGATTCTGGTTTCTCAGGAAACAGCGTACTTGGTATGTAGTAACTGGTTGCATCTACCTCAAGCATTTATATCTTAGCACTGCTAGTTATTTCTTTTGTTAAGTCTGATCACACGAGCTTAGTGGATAGGTGGATGTCAAATGTCTCTGTATGAAGGTCTGCTAATTGTTTTCCTAACATTGCTTAGACATATTAAATAATTCTGTTCTATAGGAAGGATAACTCTTGATTTAGCAGTATCTAGCTTTTGCATACTAAATGCTGCACTGGTACTTGTTATTCAGAGTCTGCTTACTTTTGACAATGCCATTCTCCGAAGATTTCTGAAGCTCTGGTTCTGGTCGTATATTTCAAAGCCTCATCCTCTTAACTTATATATGATAATGGACTCTAATTGTGCACTTACAAGGAATTATGGTTAGTTGTATGTCTGTATGAGCTGTTTCCATTTTCCTTATCGATTTGTCCATTCCATCTTATTTTCTTTGGAGTTTGTTTTCACACTCATTCAAGGATTGGCAGTAGCAATAGGCATGACGTGGTTCTTTGAGTTATCAATATTCTAATTTCTTTTTTCCATGTTTCTCTTTATATCCCTGCTTTTTAATAACAAAAATGTTTATTTTATGTAGTCTTTTTATTTGTGTGTAGTGAGAGCTGGTGCAGTGGTGAGAGACATCTCACTGAGTCACCAGGTCACGGGTTCGAAGCAGCCTCTCCGTAGATTTTGCGGGGGGAAGGCTTGCCTCGATTTTTCCCTTCCCCAGACCCCACTCATGTGGGAGCCCCCCCCTATTTGTGTGTTTGATGATAATTTGTTTGTTTCTTTGTATGCCTTTACTTGCATAAACTAATTTGGCAGGCCTACATACAATCTTAACAATGTTATGTTATTTAGGTCTTGATGCCTTTTTTTTGCAGTGTATGCTTCTATATTATTTATGCCATGTGGCCTTCGTAGTATAAAATTTTCTTTCGCCATCTCATATAGCATGGATAACATTCAGAAATCTCCGCCTTATGGTCAAACCGATTTGCATCAAACTTACAGTGGTTGACATATTTATTCAGGAGCACATGGCCTTAAATCTGATGTTCGTGACATCACAAATCACATTGAGAACCTCTCATTGAGCGAACTTCTTGATGGCACTTACAAGTATTCCAGCTTAGGAAGAGAGAAAGGAAAGAAGGTATTGCATTTAAAGAGGAACTCCTAGTCTCTGTCAGAAAAGCTTTTTCTATGCTTTCTGACATGGACTATTGCCATGGAAAGGACTCTAATATCATTCTGAGCCCTAAACTTCCTTCTGCAAGCACTTCTAGCTGTGATATCAAAGAGCAATGTGGTGACAAGCCATCTCCCTTGGTTAAGGTAAGTAAAATATTCAGTGTTACTACCAATATCATGTCTGCCTCAAAGTTTGTTTGACCTTTTTAATACTACTGCCAGGACTCATCACAAATCAATGTCTGTGATACTGCACTTCGTCATCCAAAAGATATCTTAAGCCGTTTAACACTTCCTCATCAACAAGATTTGGACTCTCTTTTAGCACCTGGAAGTGAGAGCACAGCTGGAGTTAAGCCTTATATGCCTTCCATGACAGTTCATGGAGCTAGTTTGCCACCATTTCCTTGGTCACACTCACAGGCTGGGGGCTGTCGACAAAGTGTTGACTGTGGTAAACATGGGTCAAGTAGGAGTAACTCCCAGTGGCAATGGGTGCGGGTTGGATCCAACCTCACTCCTCTAGATTATGAAGATACTTTTGTCCATAGAATTGATGATCTCCTTCAAGAGATGGATGCAGTGAAATTATGTATAACGGATTCATGTGATGGACAATATAATTTGTGTGGCACGGAATCAACTTCCGGATCACTTGTACAGAACATTCACTCAAGAAAAATTGGGGGTGAGCATGGTTCTCACCAACTGCAACCCCTGGATCATGTTGACTCTTTAGATGGTTTCCAGAAGCATGACAGTGAACATTCTCTTTTAAAAACTTCTCAAGGTAGGCCAACATCTATTTTGGAATAAGTTACTTTGGTATTCGTATTACCTTGATGAAAATAGTACTCCATTCCAAATTGCAAGTCGATTCGACTTTTCTAGGTACATAGATTTTGCTATGCACCTAGATATACGCAATGTCTAGATATATGTATGTGTATCTAGAAAAGCCAAATGACTTACAATTTGGAACGGAGGGACTAGTTGCTAAGAAATTAAATTTGAATAATTCGACATGCTTATAGATCACTATTCTAGATGTACAAATGCTTTGTTGGCCTCACATATTCAATATTATATTGAACCATATTATGCCATCTTGTGTCATGTAGCATTTGCATGTTAAGCCAGAATAGAAGTACCTAGGGATTCTTTATCTCTATAGCTAGGCACTCGTTCTGTATCAGAAAATACTGTTTTCTGGGCATTCATCTGGTATTACTCATTTTCAGTTTATCTTACTTTTGATGATTTACTTATGCGAGCTTTCCTTTCTCTCAAGCAGTATCGCCAAAGATACAGCGTGCTGCTGAGATCTTATGTGATATGAAAAGAAGCACTGAATCATGGAGTGGCCAAGGATACAGCAATGGGGCAATTAAGTGGCCAAAATCACCATCAGAAAAGGTGATGAAAGCCCGGAAGCCCTCATCCCAGTTTGGTACAACTGAGAGCTCGTCAGGTTTTCGTAACAATGATGCAACTTGGAATGGGAGCAGTCACCCTACCAAGAAAATTGTTGACAGGAAGAATGATTCTGCACGCTTGAATAATCCTGGTAAGGGAACCATAAGGTGGCCTGTGCCTGTTGAAGATAGTGCTTCTCCTGTCAGGTCCAAGCGGGGTCTTATGGTCGATACGAGGCAGCCCCATGGAAACGGTGGAAGGCATCCGGTCCAGGTGTCATCACAGGCACGGCTTGAGAAGGAGTATGAGAACCAGCAGAAGTTGAGGAAAGCAACACTGACCTCTTCTCTAGGATCTGCAGGAGATTGGAATAGGAGAATGTGAAGTGTACATTATTCATTTCAAAATCATAGGCTACCGGTATATCGTCTGGGGGACAGCGGAACCAGGCAACTGTTTCATAAGAGGTCACAAAACATTGGGAGATGTGATAATTTAGGTGGCGGGTGATGTATCTATTGGGCCATTTGTTGTTGGGGAAACTGTTGTAACTAGTGTAATTTCTTTTTTATTACCATCATATCACAGGTCTCGTCTCACTATCGTCCGTTGTGTATTACTAGTATGTGTCGAGCTTTTAGTAAAAGTAATAATAGCAGGCGAGGTAATTGCATTCCAGGCGCCAGCCCTCGCGTCTTGCTCATTCTGATTCTGAGCTTATTGTCGCTTATCGGCATCGGCGTACCACTTCCATTTTGATGGTTGGAACTTGGAAGCACAATGTTTTTATCGTCAGTCATGTTAAATCGTCATCTCATGTTAAATCGTCATCTGAGTCTTCATTTAAAAAAATTCGCTATCTAGTCGTGTGAACTATCATTGTTTTTTTTTTTATTATTGCATCCGTTGAATGTTGTTGTGGCAGAACGTGAATATGTGGCTTTTAAGATTTACCACACTGCATATATACTGTATATGCTTGACGTGCATCATGGAGCGCTCTCTCTGCTTGCAGACAGAAAGGCCTGCCTGATTCAAGCTCAAACTCTTCTTTTTTTTGGGTGACATAGTTATGCAAGTCGAAGTCTGGTCCACATAACTTGGTATTCTGCATATACATGTTTCAATTATGCTACGGGACGACTAGCGTCCGGCACTGGCGTCCCTTCGGAAGCAGCTCCCACACCTACGTCTGACGCATGCAACTTCACACATGTAACTTCGTTCGCCCCGCGCCAAATCTCGCTCCGGAGGCAGTGTCCGTCTGGACGGAGCTCCGTGCCTGCACCGGGGCCCGCCTGCATCGCATCCCGTGCCCCGCTCACCCGCATCGCGCGCCAGCATCTGGAACCGCACCCCTACGCCCGCATGTGAACTATGGCGGCGCCCCGACAGCAGCACCAGGCTTGCCGCGCTCATCCCGCACCCGCACTTAAATCACGACGGCGTCCCGGCAGCAGCACCAGGCGGCTGCGGCAAGCCGCTGTCCGCCAGCCACCAGCACGCATTGCAACATGTGCACACCTGATCTACTTTGAAACATAAAGATGAAACAATTGCAACATACAACTGAAACAGATGAAACATTTGAAGCTCTTGAAACATGCATGTATAGCCATAGCAACTTATGCAACATCCAGATCCACTTTTGCAACATAAGTCTGAAACATCTGAAACACGTGAAAACAAACACTTGAAACATGCATGTGTAGCCATAGCAAACATATGCAACATCTAGATAAAAACACTTGAAATATGCCTCTGAAACACTTTGAACATAGGCTTAAAACATGTGTATATTGTCATTGCAACATATGAAACATCTCAAATCTACTTTTGAAATATCCAGATGAAACACTTGAAGCATAAGTCTGAAACGCTTGAAACACAGCGTCGCCGGCGGCCATAACCTACATGGTGGGGAACTCCGGTAGCCAGCAAGCTCGGGTTAGTGGGACGTCAAGAGCAACGGTCCAGCTACACCCCCGGCGCAGCGCGCATGCCTCCTCTTCCTATCGACGGGCGCGCTAGATGGGGGTGTAGGCGTAGGCCTCCCCTGCCTCTCCTTCTGCGACGAGCGAGGTGGATGAGGGCATGGCGTGGGGCGCAGAGGAGCGCAAGATGTGGCTGGGCGCGACAGCATTGAGGAAGGCAGGTGGGAGTGCGGTGGAGCGTGGTCGTGGAGCGAAGTCACGGACTCACGGCGCTGCGGCGATATTTTTTAAGAAATTGCGGTGCCTGAAGTGGAGCGGATATAATATGATAAAAATGAACCTTCCTCTCTCATATGAAGAACTTAGAATTTATCTTACAAAATCAAAACTCAAATAACATGCTCCTCAATTATATGCAAACTCCTACCAGAGCCATATCTAGTGCTTTGAGTTTAAAACCTTCATAAATATGCTACTTATTTCTGCATTGAGTTTCATCAAGTCTTGCTGACCCTTGTTAAGAAAGTTATCGTGCCTCCAAGACCAAGATCACGTACATGCCACATATATAAGCTATTCCTACATTGGGAATACGCTAAAACATGCTTTCATTCACCAAAAATATTCTACTCCTATACTGGGAGTAGACAAAAAAATATGTCTTAGAAATAAAAACCCCATGTTCTACAAAATAGTTATCTATCTTTCAATATGTGGTTTAAGAGACATGTGCTATGCAAAAGTATATGAGAAAAGAAAAAAAATAGGGACACATGAAGGTCCCCAAAGAAAAAATGGACACATGATGGTCCAAGTATAAAAAGATAAAAAATGATGATGAGCACATGAAGGCTCATGTGAAAAAAAGAGAAAAAGAAGATAGCCATGTTCTCAAAATAAAACTTATGAGAGAGATCACTCATATCAAGAAGTATAGTATAGGTTTAACATTATCCACACAGTTGCACTTCTTGATCTAAGTGTATGACATCTTTCTCCTGGGATGCGAGCTTTGACTTAACAAAATATGCAGAGTAAGTATGCCTTCATATCTTTCCCCACCCAAAGATCCATATAAGCTTTTTAGAAGTAGGAAAGAAAGAAGGCAACACTATGATATGCCTTGGTGAGGAACTAAAAACAATATTGAGTGATCCGAGAGAATCATTTGAGGAGCAAAGCTATGTTTACATTTTTAAAATCAAATGAAAACCCAAGTTTTTGAACTGATTGACGCAAGGGGAATTGAATCCATGCTATTCCATTATTCAATTACCCAAGATAATGTGGTAGACACTTCAAAGTTCACAAGTGCAGGTGAAGCTTGGAATAACTTGTATGCAGATGTCATATCAAGGAGATGACCCATCTTTGTCCTTAACTTTACTCGAGGACGAGCAAGGGGCTAAGTGTGGTGGAGTCTGTTGGCGGTCTTTAACTCACACTTTATACTGCCAACACTTCTATAAAAATCACTGAAAACAACACCAAACCTAGAAATAGGACTTACAACTCACCAATTCCACTAGTTTTGATGAATTATCTCTTTGCAGGATGACTTACATGAAAAGCATGGAAATATGACAAGAATACGCAATCACGCAAAGCGCATTCCATCCTACACATAGCAAAAGAACCAAGAGGAAGCCCACTCAACCAAAGAAACTGGGCCATGCACCTACGTGGCTAAAGTTAAGTCAATAGAAGGTCACCCACAAAAGATGGGGCCCAAAGGCCTCAGTAGGGGTGCCACCGCACCCCTAGTGAGCCCACTCGACGGGAACACCACTGTAGACGTTATCTAGAAGCCCAAGGGAGAGTGCAGACCGAGGGTCACCGCATTTGGCCCCAGTGGGGGTGCGGTCGCACCCCAAGTGGCTCCGTTCGGGCCCAAACTTGATGGGCCGCCTCACACCGCCTCTCTTTGGTCGGTTCAGGTCGAGATGGTGGTAAATTTAATGCTGAGGAGGCAGTTTGGTCCTTCCATATGGGAATGGGCAATATTCCAAAGACCCCCTCCTCTCCACCTATAAAAAGGAGGCTCCCCTCTCCTCATTGAAAACACACACAAGAGAAGAGCACAAAAGAAGTAGAAGAGCAACACCATTCAATGGGCTTAGGCCCTAGCTCGCTATAGAAAAGTAGTAGGGAGAGATGTGAGGGAGAGTTCGGGGAAGAGCCAGGCTTATCGGTGTCTCCTTGTGTTGTCCTTAGATGAATTAGCTAGAAGAAATACCTCCATTCCCTGTGGAAATACGATACCCTGAATACTTTCGGGTGAAAGCTACAATGATAATTCCATACGCTTGGATTAAGTTCTATAAACATTAAGAAATACCAACAGGGGCAGCGGAGACAATGTCCTACTGGTCAGCATCTGTGTCGATGACCTCATCTTCACCGACGCTGAAGAGAAGAAGGTGGAGGCGTTCATGGCGTAGATGAAGAAGGCGTTTGACATGAGCGACCTCGGCCTCCTTTGTTTCTACCTCGGCGTTGAAGTGCGCCAGGACGCCAGTGGAATCACCCTCCACCAAACCCACTACGAAGAGCATCCTCAAGCTCGGCGGCATGACATGTTGCAACTCGGCCTACACCCCGACGGAGGAGAAGCTCAAGCTAAGTTAAGACAGCATGGCGGAGGAGATCAATCCAACCCATTACCGGTGGCTGATTGGGAGCTTGCTACCTGGTCCACACCCGGCTGGACCTCACGTTCGCCGTTAGGTACATGAGCTGGTTCATGGAGTGGCTGATGATGGAGCATCTGCAGGCCATCAAACGAATCCTGCCCTACATGGTATGCACCCTTGACTACGATCTTCACTACGGAAGGGCCCCAGACACGCGTGCGCTTTGTCGGCTACTACGACAGTGACCTCGCTAGTGATGTGGACACCAGTAAGAGCACAACTAGGACCATGTTCTTCCTCGGTGGTTGCTTAATTAGCTACCAGTCCCTCAAGCAAAAGGTGGTGGCCCTTTCAAGCTGTGAAGCGAAGTACACATCACCACCACCACTACAGCAACTCGGGCACTATGGCTGTCAAGGATGCTGGTAGAGCTCCTTGACAGCAAGGTGGATGTGGTTGAGCTAAAGGTGGACAACAAGTCTCCTCTGGCTCTAGACAAAACCCCATCTTCCATGAAAGAAGCAAGCACATCCGCATCAAGTATCACTTCATCAGGGACTACTTGGAGGATGGAAGCATCAATGCTAGCCACATTGCCACTACTGATCAGCTGGCCGACATTCTCACCAAGTCGCTAGGGAAGTCCAAGTTCCAAGAGATGAGAGAGAGGATTGGGCTATAGTAGATCACCTCCAGTGCTCGGCACAAGGCTTAGGGGGAGAACTGATAGATAAGCCTAGTGCCAAAGCACTTTTATCTTACTTTTCTACATTTTACTTTCCTTGGCTTCCAAGCCTAGTATTAGGAATATGCTCAG